GCTTCCAACATTGACATGGCAAGTGTACCTCCACCTTCCTAAAAGCATTTATTTAAATGAGTGAAACCAGAGAGAATGTTAGGTCAACTATTTAGTCAAAATTCCCTGACCATATAAAAATGAAGTCTGTTATGTTCTCAATGTGAGGGGCTGCAGTGTGTGCCACCCCCAACCCAATTCCCCAGTCATTATGTTGAAACCCTAATCCCCAGTACCTCAGAAAGTGACTGTTTTGGAGGTGGGTGGACCCTGATCTGGTAGACTCGTACAGAAGGGAGATACAGGGAAGATGGCTGTCTGCAAGTCAGGAGAAACCAGCCTGGCCAGCACCTTGATCTTAGTCTCCATAGCCGCAAGACAATAAATTGTTGCTTAAGTGGCCAGGTCTGTGGTGCTTTGTTAGGCGGCCGCCCTGGGGAAACTCTGACAGCAGCAATGACCATGATGGAACGCAGTAGCTGGGCTCCTTCTTGTACACACAGACCAGTGAAGCAGGGCAGAGCTGGGATGTAAACGATGAGTCAGACCGGGACAGCTAATTCATTGCTCCCACGAATCCACAGGCCCATCCCTTGAATCACTTCTTTATCATCAGACTTGGACTCACAAAGTTTCGCTAGGAAATGAGTGGAACTCAAACTCATCGGCTGTGTGTTTGAGACAGGCCTAATCACCGAGGTCCTTTCGGGGCCAACATGCAAACTGTGAAGCAGTGAAGTGACCGTGTGGCAGTGGGCTGGCTCCCCAGGGACCCAGTAGTGCTCAGACAGCCCTTTGTTCCCCATTCCATTCGTCTGGGACCAGGGCAGAGAGAAGGGCCTGTCCTGCTGTGTGTGGAGGCCGGGCACGGGCTGCCTGGCACAGTTGGCTGGGGACAGTTGGTGCACAAAGAGCTAAGTGGGTGGAGAGTGGGGGGTGGGCAGTGCCTGGAAGGGGTCCGACAGCCCCAGAATGTGTTGTTTCTTCTTATGAAGTCAAAGTGGAAACATCATGTTAGGGAACCAGCAGAGAGGGCAGCACAGAGAACAGAAATTTGATAGTCTGTACCTAAGCGCAGAAGATATCTGGAGCCAAGGAGTGCAACAGGAGCAGATACCGTTGGTAAAGGAGCCACACGAATTCAAAGTCACTACCAAGGAGTGCTCAAGCAGAGAATCTAACACCTCTAATCTCAGAAGAATAGCAACAATTTATTCTCAGACAAGGACAGTTCCTCCAGAAACCTCCACTCTTGTGAGACAAACAGGAGAAAGACAATGGCACCTACTGTCCTTCTAAGTGAAGATGACCTCTAGTTCCTTCTCTGCTGTCCATTCTCAGAGGGTGTTGCCAACTCCCCTTCAGCCCATTTCCAACCTGCTCCACTTTTTATCAGGATTTCAGATTAAGAACTGAGCAGGGGGTAGAATTTAGTTACTGACCTCTTTTCCTCACACCTGCCTCTGTCAGCAGCTCAACAAACACCACAGACCCACTGAGGAATTGCAGGCTTGGGACAGGAAACAGATTTTACTACAGGGCAGCAGTTCTTGCTGGGTGCTGGTACTGTCCCCCAATCTCCAGAAACAGAGTCATCACCCCACAATGTACAGGGTGGCCCCCACAACAGAATGGGATGTTCTGGCCTCAAATGCCAATGCTGCTGTGGTTGAGAGACCACTTTAACAATTTGGTCTTGGCTTATTTGAGGTTACTGTAGTGACATCTTGTTTCTAGAAAGCCCAGGGGCCCATCTCTGAAGTCATCACTGCCCAAGTCTCAGTTTCTCTATCAGGAAGATAGGAACAGAGCCCACTTGCTGCCAATTAGCAGCATAGAAAATTTGGGTATAAAAGTGTCCACTGCAGAAGATGGTCAATAAAGGGCAGAACTTTGCAAGGTTCTGCTTGTGTAACTCCCTGGGCTGGTTTAATACCTCCTGATCCTTCAAGGCTTGGCTTGGGGCCAAGGAAACTAGCTGGAAACCCGCCTGCCCCTAACCTTGTCCTAGTTATACCTAACCCTGTACCTCTGTCTCTGCACTGACTGCTGCACGCTCTGACTCTATTATTCCTATGGTGGGGAGTGAGGGCCCATTAGAAAATCCCTCCTCCAGGCACAGGACTCATATCTGTCCCCAAGCCCCAGAGCCCCAGTGCCTGACACGGTAAGTCCTTGTTTAACCAAATTCTGGGCCCACCCAGGATGCATGACTTCACAGAGATGAAGAAAGGGAAGCAGCATGTTAATGAGCTGCTTTCTGTTGGAGACCAAAAAAAAAAAAAAAAAAAAAAAAAAAAAAGGGATCCTACAGTCAAACAGAAAGGGAGATTCCCAGGTCCCACCTGTTTCCCCAAGTCACAGGTCTGAACCTGAGGGAGGTCCAGGGATTTCCAACCAGAGGGCTGTCACTTGGGAATAAGTGCAATATACAAAAGTAGATGTTGGGCACTGCTATGTTCTACTTGCAACAAAGGGTAGTTTTCAGATAGAAATTCCAGAACAAGGCCTCTCTGGTGGCTTAGGGGTTAAGTCATCACCACTAAGGCCCTCTGTGGCAGCCTGAGTTTGATTCCCTGGCCAGAGAGCTAACCCACCTGGTGCAGCAGACCTCTTCCATTTCACCCACTGCTCCCTTTAATAGTGTATTTCAGTAGATCTGCTTGTTTTGCTCCTTTGTCTGGTGAATCCTCTCACCACCACTGCCCCAACCCACAGCACCTCTGACCTATACCCCAGTTCTTCTATGCAAAAACAAATAAATAAAATTGGGATCAATGAAGCAGATATCCACCAGCTGGGACCACATGAAATTTTAGAGTGTGCCGCACCTGAGATGCCAAAATTATCAAGAGGGTTTCAAAATTAAGTAATGCTGATTGAAGACAATCCATCACTTCTGCAAATGAAGAAAGTGAAAGACTTGATGGAAGCCAGGGTCCCTAATGTAGGACTCTCCCTGAGAGCCCATCTGGTAATTTTCTGGTACAGGGGCAGACAACCCAGTGGCCACGGAACCAGAGGATTCTGGACTTGTTCACCCATGGTGTCCGGCCAGGGCCAGGCTGCACTTGGTGTCTGCAGGAGGCACAATTGTGGGTTCTCATCATGTGTCCACAGGGGTCAGAACATTCTGGAAGTTAAGTGGGGTGTTATCGCTCTGTGACCCTGCTCACCATCCAGACTGAATGAGCTCCCCAGTTCTTGTGGCAGATCTCTGACAAAGGTCCCCATGGTCATAAAAGGACAGAAATTAATGTTGTTTAAAGTGCCCAGCTTGAGGCCCTTGCCAGGGTCAAGTACATCAGACAGTGAAACAACTTTCCAATTGCCCGGGTTACCTCTGCCTGCTGCCCTGGATGACTTAAGCATCTGTGGGCTGGAAAAACAGAACATATCTCAGGAAGGCAGGAGCTAGGACCTTCAAATTGCAAAGTGACATATCTCACTACCTTCCACCTCTGACAGAGACTTTCCCTGAAAGACTCTTCGCCCACAGGGTTCCCTGGAGAGAAGGGAGGGCAAGCCAACGACTGCCTGGCTGAGCTCAAGGTCTCCGGGGGACAGATTTCCTGTTAAGTTGTTTTACCCATTTAAGTCCAAGGATGCATCTCTGAGGAGGTGACAAGCAAGCAAAAGAGGGTGCGGGTGCTGCTCCCTCCCTTCTGAAACATAGTTCCGGCCCTGCTGTGGGGATGCCCCAACTCCAAGGTTCCTTCCTCTCTCCCAGGGACCCCCAGGCTGTAGCCACCAGCTCTTTTAGAGGGAGAGGGCTGCCCTGAAATACCTACAGGCCCAGAGTGCACTGGGACTTGCCCTGGGTCATGCAGTGGTTTTGGAGGTGAAGTCAGAAAGATGAATTAAGAGTTTAAGGGGAGCCCAGAATCTCTACTGGCTCACTTCAACTTCCAGCAGGGGCTTTTCCTTCACCAGCCCTCTCCTCAGTTCTCTCCACTAGCCTCCTCCTCAGTTCTCTCCACGGATCAATCCTCAGCTAGTTCCATGCCTTCTAGCTCTTTTCTTCTCCTCGGTCTTTGACTTCCTCTATTAATTCTCTGGCAACTGCACGAGTGGGTTCAGAATCACTGAGCACCAGCGCTCCAGGCGCCACCATCTCTCTGACACCATTCCTCCAGTTCTTCACGCAGGGTAAATGCCCGCAGGCCATCTTGCACCCCTTCTTCCTAGCGCACTACAGTTGTCCCCACCCCCCTTCCCACGGCCTTGCCCCTCTCCCCCAGCTTGGGCCTCTCCACTCCGCCTCTTTCCTTTTCTTCCCTCCCAGCCCGTTTCCTGCGACCCCTCAAACCACCACTTAAGCCACGTCCTCTTCAGAGAAGCAACTCAAACTCACAAGACGTAACCCCCCGCCCCCTCCTCCGTCCGCGAACTCCCTCACCAGGACCATCCCATTCTCTTTCTCCTTCTACGGCCCGCGCACACCCGATCCGCAGCAACCCCGCACGACCCCCAATCTCGTTCCCGCCCCCTGGACCCCTTTCTGCATGCCCCCCACATCGACCCTCATCCTCATCCCCCTACAAGGCAGTTCGCCGCTGCGAACTTCGCGATCGAATCCCCACGCTGTGGCCCCCCCGGCACTCACC